TTGTCATCTTCATCATCAAGATTTTCTTTGGTAAGTTTATTGATCTCTTTTTCAATTTTATCTAAAAACTTGTTGACATTCTTGAAAATACCCCTTTTATAAAACTCTTTATAATGAATACATCTTGTGTTATAGTAAGCCAAATGGTATCCATAATCACAAACAAACACCATTCCATTATTGTTAATAAATTGAAGACCATAATGATTACATAATTCAAGATGTAGAGGGTGTGCTGTGATGTAAGCTGTTGGTAGGTGATGAGGTCCACATCTTTATCTAAAGTAGCAAGTCAGATGTTGTCATTGTTTTTTTTTTCGGGCTTTGAAACACTTTTTCCATGATTATAAAACACATTTTGAAAATATTGTAAGAGAAAAAGTACAGTTTTATTGTTCAAAAAGTCTAGTGTTATTTGAGTATATAGATATTGCCATGTTTTGCAGTAATTGCCTTTAAATACACTATTATGATTCATGATATCATATACTTGTTTGATTATATTGTCAGCTGTAACATTTTGTGATGTGTTAGCTCTAATTTTATTATGCATGTTCTTCACATAATACTTATTAAAATTTGATAGATATTCCTGTATTATATTTAAAAAAAGATGGTTAGTATCAGTCCAGTAAAACAAATCTGAAAGAAATACAAGAGGTGCTTTATTATGGTTTTTTCTTTTCCAACATAGTGCCAATATCCAAATATGAAAAATCATCTCCATATATTCATTAAATTGACCTAATTGAAATAAAAGTACATAAACATCAAGTGTGACTGAAACCAAATTATTAAGTAAGTCTATTATTATCTGATATTTAATATCTTTGCATGTTTGGCCAAATTTTCATTAATTTCATCCTTTATCTTGGTTCAACCATTTCATACAAGTTCCAATAAAAGATTTATTCATCAAGGTCATGGTTTCTTTGCAAATTTTTTATCATCTTCAAATACAAAATAAAAAAGTTTTTTAAAAAAAAAATGATATCTTAACACAACTTGTTCTCTACTATTTAGTGATACATAGAGGGGGCCTAAAATAGGAAAAAATAGTTGTAAAAAATCTGATCGAGTTTGTGTATAAAGTGCCTTTCTAATAAAAACCTGATCAGGCCAATTAGCTATGATGGGTGCAATTGTTCATTTAAGTATTGAGTTTTGTTATTTATTGATAAAATAAAATTTAATATATTAATATAATCATGTACAGAATGCAAGTATTGTTTATTGAATCCTATAAGTTGAAGTTCTTTTGTTGATCATATTTCTTTATTTTTCTTTATATTATCAGCATAGCTATGTACTGTCAACATTTCAATTGGGTCAAAATTATTATTTATTAAATGAGTTTGTGAAATTTTTTGTAATTGGTAATCTGAATATGATATATCAAATATTCCAGTATACTGATTAATTAAGTACCAACAAATCCTCCATGCTTCTACATTTGCTGAATTATGAACTGATACATTATTATATATGATCTGCACAGAAGAGCATTCTACAACTGGTTTTGTTACAAGTAGCAAAATGATTAGCAGTTGACATTGAGACTGTGTCAGGTCTATGGTTCTCATGGATAGCATGATAATCATCAATGTTGTAAACATAAAAAAAGTTATTCTAAAAAAAAAAAAAAATGAAAAAATTATATAATTATGTAATTATATCAATTTATTTAATATAAATTATATAAAAATTTATATTACATTTTCTAAAAAATATTACACAATTCTTGCTAAATATTCATTTTTGACTTTTTTTCTAAATGCTTCTACTGTATTAGCATAAACTGAGTATCCAAGTTTGGACATTGTGTTAACAGCCTTCCACATTGCACCTGAAGCCATCAAATATAACCTGACTTCCAATTTATGCTGATTAACAAATTTGTTGCGTAAACCTGCAATTGTATAACATAATCCAACTATTGATTTTTTTGCCTCATTTATGTTGTAAGCTGAGCATTAGTTCAGAATAATTGAGTTTGTCATATAGCTAAAAAAACCTTTAAGCTGAGAGTTAATAGCTTTGATTATTTGTTCAAATTTTGTCAGTTCTAGTTCTAAACTAATACATTCCCGCCATTGATGATGATACAATGCCTTGGTTAGCATTTTGATGCCTGAAGCGAATGTAATCTACATATTTAAATTTATAAAAATAAGAATTATATAAAAAAAAACTTAACATTAATATCAAGGTATACCTAATACATTATTATTTGGTAAAGGTTTTATTGGCTCCAATATTTGTCTTGTTTGATTATATATTTTTTTTGGTTTATGCCTTCAGTGATCTCTGTCTGGTTCTACCAGTTTACAATAATGTGGATGACAAAGTTGTTCTCCAATCTTAAGATAGGGATACATTTCTAATGTTCCTTTGGTATGACATTTATTGTATGCAAGTGCAATAATTGTATGAAACTTAACATCAACATTTGTACAATTTATGATTGAGCAGGGACCAAAATTTTTAGTTGGCATTTATATGGTTTAATTTTTCAAATTTTTTTTTTCTTTTTCTTCCTAATTGGATTTTGTACATATAAAATAGTCTATGAATTTCTATCATCACTAATATTAACAATAGGATAGAGAGACTTACCATGGTTGATCACAGAAAAACTTGTCGCAACAGGATTTGTTCACGGCAAAACTTGTTATGACAGGATTTATTCACATTAAAGTTGACCCGGCGAAATTTGACTAACAAACTTGATCTGAAAAAACTTGATCTGGCGAAACCTTAAGCTTGGTAAACTTTATTACAAAAAAACTTTGAGCCAACAGCCTTAACTGCAATAACTTTACACCAAACTTCTAACGTGTCAATATTTTAACTTTCAAATGAAATTTATTCAATTTCTATGAATTTATACAATTTTAACTGACCAATCACGATCTAAGAATCAGGATCTGCAGACTGCATAACTGCAGCCAATAACATAGAACTTCAGTCATGCTGTCATTTTAAGAATCTAATTATTACCAATTTTTTAGTTTCAAATAATTGGATACTTGAAAACCCTGATATTGATGATGATTTTAAAAAAATATTAATGGAGAATAAATGTAAATTTCAATGAATACCCTACGATAAATTTAAAGGTATTAAAAGAATAGGACAAGGTGGATTTGCGACCGTATACCATGCCATGTGAAAAGACCAAAGTCACTGTGAATACAGTGAGTTCAGAAATGTCGCGCTTAAATTATTTCATGGGTCAAAATACCATCCGAAAGAGTTTATGCCAGAGGTATTTTTTTTTTTTTGTATTTTAATATTATAAAAAAAAACATTTTATAAGCATTTTATAACCATTTATATATTTATATTTTGATCATAACTACTTTTCAATATTAAGTTGAAAGCTTACTATGATATTTGTTATAAGAATCCTTCGTTTTTAAGATGCTATGGAATATCAAAGGATGTTGCCTCTGGTGATTATATTCTTGTTTTGAGATATGTAAAATCAGATTCTCTTCGTAAAAATCTTTACTCTGTAGCACAAATGAATGGAAAAATAAAGTAGAATTGTTACAATGTATTGTCTTTGATATAAAAATCATTCATTCACAAGGACTTATTCATCGAGATTTACACAGTGGTAACATTTTGCTAGAAAACAATTTCTGTAGTTCATACATCGTAGATTTAGGTCTTTCAATAGCATTAGAAGTGAAGTCTAATGGAATTTATGGCATTTTACCATATATAGATCCAGAGGTTTTAAATGGAAAGCCATACACTACAGCATCTGATATTTATTCTTTTGGTATAATTATGTGGGAGATTTTACATGGAAAACCTGTATCTTATGATTTAAATTATAGTAATAATGTATCACTTCAAGTATTAATTTGCTGTAATAATTTACGACCAAATATTTATGAGAATGCGCCAAAATGTTATATAAATCTAATGAAAGAATGCTGGGAAAAAGAACAGAAAAAACGTCCATCAGCAGAAAAACTTTGTGAAATTTTTGAAACATGGTAAAATGTTGAAAAAATTTTGCATCCAGTAGTATTATTCAAATCAGATGAAATAAAAAAAAATATTAAAAGTGCCCGTGATCGAAAAAATTTGGAATCATTTGATAGAAGCCAATTTATTCCCTATAACACGTCTTATATTCCAGGTAAATAGTATAATTCTTTTATGCAGTTATTACTTCAGTATGATTTACCAAATTTATTTATAGTTAGTGGTTTGAATGGATTAACGGTGAAAGAACATTATAAGTAGTTCTTGGATTTGTACGCTATTTCTGATTTGAGTTATAATTAAGCTTATCACAAAAGACATCAAAATTGATAAATAATATTATTAGATAGCTTACTATCAGAATAACTTGAGTTATCTATCAGAGTTATTTTGATGGTAATTACGTTTCACCAAATAACTTTGTTATTGGTGATAACGTAATCACTCGAATTATTCCGACGATTCGGTCATCGGATAATACCGTTATTGAATGCCACACACCAATAACCTACTTATCTGGCTTTACCATTTCTTACCCCTTATGGGGCTCAGAAACTAGCATATTAAATTTAAAGCCAGATAGATAATGGAGTATTTTTACAAATAACTTCCGTTATTAGATGCGAAACATTAGTAAATATATAATTAAATAGTAAAAACTTTGTAATTTGTATTGATCTTTTTGGTATATATAAGTAAATTTATAATATATGATATATGCTAACAAAATTCTTATTAAGCTGGTTTTTAAATTTGAAGTATATTTATATAATATATTTCCAAAATTTAAATTTTGTGATGAAATAATATGCGTTGATAAAATAAGAATAACACATAGCATGCATTACACAATATTAATTTAATTGTAAATTTTAATATTGATTTATTTAATTATATATAACAAAATATTACAGTTTGTTTTTTAAGTTAAATGAAATTTAATAAAGATGAGATTGTTCTTTTAAAATAAAATAAAAAATTGATAAAAATTATAACAATTAAGTAATACTTTTTGTTCCAATTAAAGCAGCAGCTTGAGACCATAAAAAAGATGTATTTCTAATATTACTTTCATTGTAAAATAATCTAAAGTCCGCAGGTCTAAATGCAAATTCCGATAATTCATCAGGATTTATTTTACTATATACCTCATTTATAGGTAAAGTAAGAGCCATTCCAGTCAATGGAAAAGGTTTAGGCATTAAAGTATTATTTGACAAACCTAATTTATCTAAAGAATCAAGTATAGAAGTTGAATTATAAACAAAACCACCTGGAAAAGATGAATAAGATAATAAAGGATTGCTTGCAATCCCTCCAACTGCAACAGTAGTAACATTATTATATTCTGCTGCATGTTCAGTAAAATGAGAACATGCAGAACCACAAAATCCATTAGTTAAAATAATGTAATCTTCAGGTTTCCATGGAAGAGGTGTTATTAAATTTTTTTGAATAAATTGACTAATATCATTAATTGTTTCATTGCCTGAAACATATTTATTCGAATAATTTCCACTAATACCACCACGTGTATAAACATTATTGCCAAAGAAATCATCGGCACTTGTAAAATTAGCAAGTGTTTTGGCATTAACATAAACTTTCATATCAAAAATGTTATCTTGGATTGTAAGTCTAAATTGTTCAGTAATTGCAAGTTTCATTTGTTCTGAAAGTCGATTATCAAAGGAAAAGGCAGGAAATGTGTTAGGGAATAAGAGTAAATTAATAAGTAAGACAACTGCATATAGTCCACCGGTGTTATCAGATAGATCAAGAACAATCTTTAATAAATAAATAAATAAATAAAATAATAAATTTAGATGAATAAATATAAATGAATAGATTACAGGAATTCAATATAAAAATTCTAATTACCTTTTTAACACTTGAATTTGCTAGCTCATTAAATCCTTGAATTACATTCACAAACACATTATCACTTATTGAATTGGGTATTGGAGTGGGTGATTCAGACATTATTTTAACGACGCCAAAATCTTGTTGTTTAAAAAAGCTAATAAATTTATCAACAACTCTGATTATAGTTACACTTTGGTCTTGTTCTGGTAATATTTTATTAGCTCCATTAAATAATTTTGTAATTTCTTGAAAATTGAGTTTAGCAGATACTGGTTGTTGTTTTTTTTGTATAGGATTGCAAATATTATCAAAATAAGTTTTGGAATCATTAAACTTATTTAAAACAATACTACTACTAAAAGCAGTCCAGTTTCTTTTAACATCAAATTCATCAGTGTTATTGCATTTAAGAGTGTAAGTGATGTCCGGATTCTCTGGTATTTCAGTTCGGATGGCAAAGGATAACGTGTTATAAGCAATGTCAAGTGCTATATTAAATCGTACACCAAGATCTCTTGATCCATAAACCGAATCTCTAGCAAATTCATAAATTACTTGATATGCCTCTTGACCATCGATATTAGTTACTTCACAATCAATATTAGATTGGTCAATAGTATCGTTATAAACTTTAATTATCTAAAAAAAATAAAGACATAACGAATTAACAAATGAGATTTAAATAACTATAATAATGGATTATAAGTTACCTGCTTTCCATCGTTAATAACAGAATAAAAAGTCATATTCGTATAAAAAAGAAATGATGAGAAGCAATTTAAAGAATATAACGTATGTGCATCTTTTAAATCATAAAATAATTGTTCAACATCGATCTATTATATAATAAAATATATAATAAGAATGTAAAAATAAAGTAATTGCAGTGAAGATAAATAAATTATATTTACAGTAAAATCATATAGACTTGTATAAGATTTATTCCTAAAAAGTTCTAATTCAGCTATTATATCCATTGGTATAAAGTCAAATCCGGGTTGTGGAGGTTCTTTGGCTTTGTCCAAAAATGAATAAAATCCACCGAGCAGACCAGTTAAAGTATCTATTGTCTACAATTTTTAGCATAAATCATATGATCAATTTTAGCAAAAATCATATGATCGATCAGAATACATTACATATAATATATAAATACCTTAGATGCGACATCTTTATCATATGGAAAACTTTCATAACAATCTTTAACATCGGTATAACTAAAATTGGTTTTTTGTATAGTAACGAATTCATTATAGATTCTTGCACATCCATCTGTGGTAGGTGCCTGTCGTGGAATTACGTAAGATTGAACATTTGTGACAGAAGCGAATAATAATACGAAAAATATTATGCAAAATCTCATGTTAGAAAATTTATTACTAGTGCAATTCATTAAAAAAAAAAATTCGCAGTCTTATTTCTGAGTTTATTTATGTCTAACTTTGCGATATTTTTAAAATAGTTTATCGGAGATCGGAAATTTTTTAATCTAACATGGAACTTTTTGGTTTTCTAGATTTTATCCAAACACAATCATTATCATTTACTGTCATTCTAAAAATAATATCATATAATAACAAATAAAGGTAATAAATATGGTTAAAAAAATTTCTCTTTTGGAAAATCTGATCAATTTTAGTAATGAGAGAAGATGCAACATTGGGATGACAAAGACATGGTTATCACATTGTCCATATATGTATTAGAAATCTACCACACAACTTTGAACTCTAGAATGACTTTATCCATTCACCGAAAAACAAACAAAAAAAAAAGACATGTGAAAAAGACCACGTAGGATAAATTCCTAATCATAAACATTGTAAATTATCTTATGCTATTTTATACTAAAATTAATTCATTAAAGCTTTGCTGCTGAATTTACTGATTAATAAACTTGACAAGACTACATATTGTTAGTACGTACGTAATAATTCAGCAGCGCAATTAATAGTTTCGTTAGCATTGATTTAATTGGGCATGATACACTGTGTCATAAGGTAGTACATTGGCTTTTTTTTTGCGGCATGATAATCTTATCACAAATGTATAAATAATTTACTTAAACAGTGATGTTCTCACTATAATAAGCAACTTGACTTGGCGTACGGCTACGTATATACGCATACGTATACGCATGTACGAACGTACAAACGTTTGTACGTACGTACGTACTTAGTACGTAAGTACGTATAAGTTTTTTACAGTCTTGCTTTGAGCATTTAATTTATGAAAAACAAAACCATATATTGTCGGTAAAGTGCGAACCGTTTTAGTTTATACATTTTATTCTATTAATAATTTATTTCGGATGCGCATTTGATGGTACACATATCAGCATCATTAATACAGTAATATATTCATTATATTTCATATTCACATTTAGGGTAATGTTGCGTAATTCATTATCATTATATGGTATCATCCAAAAAATTGAATACGTACTATTATAATTGACAAACAGAGTCAACCGATGACTACGTACAAAAATCCAAACTTAATTTACCAAATACTATTATTAGAAATTTTATTCAAGGTTCATTTGATTTTTTGTGAGCAATAAAAACCCAAGAAGGAACTAACCAGCCTACTTGTTGATTATTTCCTTTTTTTTATGATTTAAAGCGGGGTTAGCCAGGGTTTGTCTATTTATGTCTGTAATACAGATCTAAAAAAAGAAGGTTAGTATGAAAAGTAAAATTGCGTACGTAGTACGTAAAGACAAAAATTTAAGGTTTGGGCTTAGCATCAGAGTATATATCAATTTAGAATAAAATTGTTACTACGTATACTATACGTAAACTTTTGTTTATTACTGTATTAGTGAAACAAGATCGATTTATATCAACTTTTGATTCTATGTCTAAATATGTCAAAATTTGAACTCACTAATCGGCTGTTTCCTTTCTAGGAATTTTT